CCCTTCGCTACAACCCATGTCTAAGCAAAAGCTTGTCGAGGAGCGAGGGGAAGAAGGGAGAGTACAAAAAGATGAATCGGCCGTGGGCAATGAAGGCACCGCGGTCTCAAGGAACGACCAGTACTTGGAGTAAATGAGACGCCGAGAGAGCAATCTGTTGAAAAAAGTTTCGACATCCACAACTTCGGTAGGACTGGTTGGATCGTATCGTACAATACTTCGATGGTGGCACGATTCAGTCGTCGTGTGCTGTCTGGCTCTGCTGTAGCGCTTCTGGCTGTGAATCGCATGACACAGGAATGCCCCCCGTGAAAAACTGGGGGACATTATCGTACCATTTTCCAGGCGCTGCTACAGGTACGCAATATTTATTACCGTTGCCGAACAGAAGCGGGGTACCGCCAACAAAAACGCGTTGGCAAGCAACAATGGGAAATAATCGTGTCTGTGGAAGATGCCACGGGTTTTCTGTGGTGGTGTGTGATTGACATGACGTTTCCGAACAATTAAAGACAGCAGAAGACCGCTACGGCAGTCACGAGACTGCCAATAAACATCACGCCCGTTCCAACGCCGTACTGCTGTCCCGCATCCAAGGGTAAAAGATGATTCAAGTATTTAAGGGCCAGCACAAACGATAGATTGAAAACCGTTAATTGTGAAGAGCACGAAGTACCATTGCCTTCGACGCGAGGCCACGCGCATTCTCGCTTAAACTAAATGTGAACGCGAGTCGACCCTCAAATTCATTAATTTCGGTATATTTTCCTCGACAACTCAACCCGTGCCACACAGCAGCCAGAAGGAGACAGACGAGGGTCCTGCCCATATAACCGAAAAAATCAGCCAACAACAGGACACGAAAGCAACACCTCGAAACGGGAAAGGCATTAAAACTCAGCAGGCGCGGGGTCTCTACTACAGAAGTTGTAGTCCTTGTTGTGCCATCCCGGACAAGCTGTGAGGCAAACCAGATTAAACTCAATTTTTTGTGTCTTTCGACAGTAGGCATCTAGCCAGACTTATTCGAACAGATGGAGAGCATGCTGAGACTGCTGTATCGTGTGTCCTGGGAACCTTGGCATGCACATAACGTTCTACACCCTGCAACACCTTTTGGTTTTACAACTGGCGCTTTACTGCTGTGGGGGCCATCTGTGCCGGGAAAAAAGGGAGCGGGTGTGCGCACCCGTCAATCCACTGTTTCGGCCTGTCATCCAACATTTGACATTTCCTACAGATCAGATCCGCTCCGTTTGTCACGTCGAACAAATCGGGCCTGTCATTTGTTTGAATGGTTGAGAGATGACTCGGTACGCCCACCGGTACGCACGAGGGAATTGGAATTCCGAGCTACAGAGACTGCAAAGGAGCGGCGCGTGTCCCTGCGTAGGATGGCAAGTCAACAATATTACACAGCAGCCGTTGTGTCACTCTTCACTATCAAGAACAATTTACGTGGTGAGGAGAATGACGATCGACAATCCCAGGAGAAGGATGTACCTTTACACAAAAACGCCGTGTGGCGCTCGGTATGAAGCAGAGATCAGCTGCTGCCCATGTACTTCAAGCTAGCGCAGCTACAGCGAGAAGGAAGTGGACAAACCCTTCGATCAAGTACCACCGGTCAGAACAAAAAATCGAGTGCGCGCTTCTGGGGGGGGAGATAAAGGCGGAAAAAAAAACGGCAAATTCCTTGTGAGCGCATGCGTGAATGATGACACATGAGGAATTCCACCGTCATGGGGTGCCGCGGATGGTTCGATACGAGCACGCGTCAGGGCGAGATAGGCCACGCGATGGGTGAACCCCTTGTGACGTTCGGCTGTCTCCTCAAGAAACTATTTGACAGCTGGCTGCCGCGGCGGCCGAGAGAGGGAGGAATAAATCAAATTATCTACCCGCCCATTTTGCAGATTCCGGACTCTTCTCGGTCTTGAAGTGTGTGTGCGTTTGGGCGTGCAAATGACCTGAAGCCACAAGTAATCCACGACACCGCGGGTGAGCCCTGCATCTACCCTCTACTACGCTAATGCGAACCGTCGGCTCTTCGCAGAGATGACAGTGTGGGAAGGAAGAGAAAAGCCCACGCTACATGCGGTAGGTAACCTCGTGCCGTCATGCCCTCGCAGGCAGGTAGGCCGGTGCACGTGTGGGTGTGGGCGGATGAACAATTATGAAATTGTTGCTGACGAAAGGTGCGGCACCGCCTGTTGTCTACCCTTTGGTTTTCTCCATCAGCCTTCTTGACACGCGCCACTATGACGAGGCGCAACATCACCGATGCGAACGCCCTCCGTACTCAGCGGAAGGCCACGTGGTTGGGTTGATTCGGTGCAGTGTTACCCGATCAATAAAGAGCCAAACAGCTTCCAGAAAATTCGAAAAAAAAGAACCACGCAGCATCATGAGAGAGAGGAAATAGCCGACACCACAACCGGAGTGCATCATACGGGAGCGCGCGCGCGGGCCACGTAGAACTACGGCTGCGTCATATGCAGCAGGCACGCGTGAGCGGGTGCTTTACGGCCGCTACACACATCGCTGCTCGCACCTGAGGCCTGTGTATCTCTACTTTCCAACCGCAGCTGCCCGGTGACGCGTGAAATAATCCGGAATAAAGGCCACATAACAACGCCGAGAGAGAAGGTTTTCAGCTTTGAAGCAGCACGATCGCGACAGAACAAAATGGTTACCCAGCAGCAGGAGGATTCCCGCGCAGCAGGCGCAGCAGCCCTTGCTGTGCGGCACTTGCTTGGGTCTTGGGGGCGAACACACTCTCACTCGGCGCGCCTGCGGGCATGAGAGAGACGGATATTTTTGCCAAATCCCCAACAACGACGGATGCCCCGTTCTGTCTCACCTGGAAGACACAACCATGTCCCCCGCGGCTGGTGTAACCACCTCGAGCGCGCTGGCAACGCCGAGCATGCCACACGCGAGAGCAACAAAACCAGTGCGGACCATCATTGCTACGGTAGCTGGGCGGCTTCGAGATGGAAGAAAGAAGAGGGCCGTGAAGAGAGCGGAGAAGATTGGGAAAGTCTGTTGTAGTGTGGGTGTGTGTGCCTCTCTCCTCGATCCCCGTGGGGCACAATAGATTGTTATTGTACCCCCCCGCACCTGTTCGAGGTTTGAGGGGACGCAGATCCTTTGTTGGCGTTTGTTTCAGTTCCATTTTTTTTGCCGTGGGTCGGACGTCGGACGAACACCCGCCACGGACGAACGACACCAAATCTTTGCTGCGTCACGCTCGCACTCGGCTCATGAGCTGCTTGCTGCTGTTCCAGATTGCCAAACACTAAACTCTTCTTATAATGGCTCTTACGCGTACGTCATCCATTAGCACCTCGGCTGAGCCACTAGACTACTGCGAGCGAAAGGGCATCCTCCCGGAGGAGCAGAGCGGTTTCCGCCCACACCGGTCGACGCTCGACGTGCTGTTCGCCATCCAGCGGCTCCATGAGCTCGCGAGGAAGAAGAGTACTGCGGTGTTCGCGTGCTTCGTCGACCTCACCAAGGCATACGATTCGGTGGACCGAGACCTACTGTGGGACGTGCTCCGACGCTTCGGCGTGCCCCCGAATATGCTGGCGGTCGTTCGCCCTTCCACGAGGGCATGAGGGCGCGCGTCCGAACGGACGACGGGCAGTACTCAGAATGGTCCGAAGTGGGCCAAGGCCTCCGACAGGGATGCATCCTGGCCCCGCTGCTGTTCAANTATGCTGGCGGTCGTTCGCCCTTCCACGAGGGCATGAGGGCGCGCGTCCGAACGGACGACGGGCAGTACTCAGAATGGTCCGAAGTGGGCCAAGGCCTCCGACAGGGATGCATCCTGGCCCCGCTGCTGTTCAACTTGTTCTTTGCCGCGATGCTCATGGTCGCCGTGGCCGAGTTCGACAAGGACCCCAAGGTGACGGCGGACATGGTCAAGATCGGGACACTGGTGGAGTACACGGGCAAGAAGGGCAGGTCGGCAGGGATGAAGACGACGGTGGTGACGGAATCGGAGGCCCTGTGGGCCATGCTCTACGCGGACGACGCGGCCATCGTCTCGCGCTCGCCGGATAGTCTCGAGAAGAAGATGATGTCGGTCATCATGCGCGTGGCCGGCCTGTTCGGAGTGATGGTATCGGAGCCAAAGACGGAGATCGTGTGCATGCTGCCGAAGGGGATCGACGAACGCCCGTTCACGGTCAGCGCCGCCGGCCAGACAGACGTACGAGCAGACAGATCGGTTTGGGTACCTCGGACGTACCATCTCCGCGGACAGGAAGGCCAACCGGAAGATCACGTGCCGCAGCTGGCGAGCGTGGAAGTGCTACCGCCGGAACAGTGCTTCGATGTACGACAGGCGATGGGCCGACCGCCAGCTCAAGATCCGGCTACTCCAGGCTGAAGTGGTGGAGACTCTCCTATATGGGTGCGCCTCGTGGAGCCTAACAGCGGAGCACTACACGAAGCTCAATGGGACCCCCCGCCAGTTCCTTGCGCGATGCATCAGCTGGAGCAAGCGGAAACGATCAGACCGCCCTCTGTGCTTTGCCCAGGCCCTCATCCAGGCAGGCTGCGACGAAACCATCGTGGCCACCGTGCGCAAGACTGTGTTTCGCGGGCTTTGTTATGCGCATAGAGGACAACCGCCTCCCCAAGCGCATGCTGTTAGGAGCGATGGCGGGGGGCGTGGGATACCGGGGCGGGCAGGAGAGCGACTGGGTGTCTCGTCTAGGAGAGGACCTCGTGGCCTTCAACATGGGAGACGAAAAGGAAGGGGGTAAATGGAAAGAGAGCGCCAAGGACCCGGAGGTGTGGTACAACAAGGTCGAGGACGGGGCGGCATGGTTCATGAGGAAATGGCACAGGCAGGAGGCGGAAGCGTCCGCGAAGCGCCAGCGCGCGAGGGAAGCAGAAGCAGAGAGTACGGCCATCCCAGGACCGAAGAGAAAGAGAGTCGGGGAAGCGGCGGTGGGGGGGAAGAAACGGCCACCGGGCACTGCTGTAGAAGCGAGTAGGGCGGCCGAGGCAGCACTTGTGGCGAACTATGTACCCGGCGGATGTTTTTGCGCCCTGTTTCCCTCCCTGCTGAACGCTATAATGTACTCCTTTATGTATGTCCTTTGTATTGCCTTCGGTCTCTGTGCTGTGTTTCTTTTTTTTCATGTCCTCCCTGCCTACTCTGCTGTGTTGGGTACCTTGATCTCGCTTT